GACGGCTCAGCTTTTGATTGACACCTAGTTTGGCCAATAGGAGGGCTTTGGGGGTGAGTGACAGCCTGAAGGGCCAATGGAGTGTCTCAGACAGTCAGCCCGGTCCGCACAAGTCCCACCCTTGTAGATTCGACCAGTCGGGTTGCAGACACTCTCTGACGCTGTAAACTTGTAGCCAATGAGCAGCCGAACACATGGATGTGTCGGAAGGCAGGATTGTGTGTGTGTGGCGGTATCGGATCGGTCAGTTACCACTGTGAAGGAAATCATCCCATACCGTAATTTCATCCAGTATCGGATCGGCGCATCTCTATTATAAACAAATTAACCGTTGTTAATTCTTATAAGGAAATCATTCCTAGACGAGACGTAACTGACGAGTTCAGGTTTTTATCTTTAATAGTTTCTGAGATCTCAAATGTAAATGTGCTGACGGACAAACTTTAGAGAAAAAATTATCTGTGAAAGTTTGTGAAATATGAAGCTAAAATTTCACAAATAAAATTCTAAATATTAAGAGTTTATGATTTAAAAAATAGTAGATGCACTGTTGAGACAGAAAACCAGAAAAGAAAAATAGAGAAACTGATTCATTCCCTTGAGTTGAACGAGCAGTGCAGCGTCATGTCGCCCCCTGCAGGCCGTGACAGTAACTACACAAACCTTCCTCATCTTCAGCACCACAAACTCCTGATGTTTTCCTCCATGTTGTTCTCGCTGCTGGCTGGTTTCTTTAGATGTTCCATGTTGTCACCAAAGGAAGCATCCACAGGTGTGCTTCCAGTTAACTCACGTTGTCAATTAACCAATCAGAAGCTTCCAAAGCCATGACATCATCACCTGGGCTTTCACACATAGTTTGAAGGCATCTTAGTGGATGTAAACTTCTGACTCGGACTAAAACATTCTCTGTCCTCGAACAGGAAAACTTTAGTCTGATGTAATGTCAGTGAGTTTTATGTCTTTTTATAAACTTGACGTAAACTTCGGGTTTCAGCTGCAACACTTTGAGTTTCTGCTAAAACTCGACCCGCTTGTCGTTCCAGCAGATTTTTCTCAGTTTCTTCAGAATCTTTTCTCTTTTTTGTATGTTCTTGTTTTTATTCCAGCATCACTTCACCTCCTTAAATCACAAAGAGCTTCGTGTTGTTTTAGAGAATCAGACTTTTTTTTTTTTTGTAAACTCCATCGTGTACAAAAACATTTTAAATTTTACCATTTTTGCATCAAATACTTTCCAGGATAATTTTTAAAAGAATATCTCAAGAGTTTCCCTTTTTGCTCCGTTAATTTGTCGTAAAAAAAAAAAAAAAAGTTAAAAATGTCAAAATCAGCCCTATTTTTTCAGCGTTTTACCACATTTTAAATTTACGTGCGTTTGTTGTCGTCGCTGAAAAACACAAACTGAAAAGAAAAGAACCATGAAATTCTACTTCCTGTTTCTTGAGCGGTAGATTTACCACCACTTTAGGCCTTTTTATTTCAGAATAAAAGCCTTGAAAATGTGCATTTGTCTATTTAAATTAGTTTATCTCTATGAATAAAGTGCAGTAGAAACTTGCTAAGTGTTGGTTCAGCGACACACAACCTGATCTCAACGCTTAAACTGCAACGGAAGAAGAGAATCAGGAAATTCTACTTCCTCTTTCTTGAGCGTTTGATTTTAGTTCAGAATAAAAGCCTTTAAAACTTTACTTGTCAACAAGATCTCTTAAAAATAGTAAAACAAAGATTTAGGGCTTTTTTTTTTTAAAAGATAACACGTCAAAGTTTTACTGCACTGTTAATATTCAGGTATTCAAGAATCATGAACTTCTACTTCCTGTTTCTTTATGTTTGCGTTTAAGACACTTGAGGTCGATTTACCACCATTTTGGGCCTTTTGATTTCAGAATAAAAGCCTTTAAACCTTTATTTGTCAACAAGATCTGCGTTAGGTTTACCAGACGACTGATTCAGGCCTGAGCGTCTTTTTGGCGTCACAGATGGCTTCCCGTTTCCAGTGCGGCGCCGTGAACAGAGTGTCGGGAGGCGGCGGTAGAGAAATCTTTCCTGGTTTTTATTTATCACACATTTAGAAAATGAACCACACTATACAAATGTCCACCGTTCAGTGATGAATCCTGCGTGAACCCAAACGACGGGAGCAGACGGCGCTCTGGTCGGCCCGCTGGCTCCTCGTCTAGCTCTGACTTTACTCGTTAACTCTTTTCTGTGGTCGCCGTGGTGCAGGTAGGCAGTAGCATGCAGAAACCTTTGGATGCGGCGGCGGCGGCGGCTCTCCTCTGATTGGCTAATTCGTTATGTTTTTCTTTTTTTTTCTTTTTGCGCTATGTAAAGACGGGAGGCGGGGCTTAACTCCTCGCAGTCTGTATGTACAACGTGACGACGGGGAGGCGGGTCGGGACCAGAGTTCTGCCCGCCGGTGGTTCGGTTTGTCACAACATGGCCGCCGCTCAGAGGGATCCACACTTTATTACTCAGACATAAAATAAAATAAAAAAACAAAAGAAAAGAGAACAAATAAAAGGGAGGAGAGCCGGCGGGTGGGCGGGCAGGTGGGCGGAGCTCAGGCCAGGTAGCTGTAGGTGTCCTTCTCGCCGTCCACTCGCTCCAGGTACTCCTTCTCTATCAGGATGTCGATGCATTTCTGGCCACAAGAGGGAGACAAAGCACGAGTATTTACACCTCGACATGTACGTCTGCACTGAAAACAGACTTCATAGGACACAAGAAACAAAAGTCGTTCAAACTTTGTGCGGTTAGTGAATTTTGGTTTGTACGTCCACACAATCATTATGTTTTCAGATGGAGCTCTACACCAGACTCCATTGACAAAAACAGTAATTTTAAGAAAAATGCTTTACAGTTTTGTTTTGTTTTTAATTTGTTGAATTAAAAGTGGTTCAGGTTTGCTCAGATGATTTAATTTCTCACTCTGGCAGCAGTAATTGAAAAGAGACGCGTCTGCTCCTTCTCTAAAATGATGTAGGTGCATTTCTGGCCACAAGAGGGAGACAAAACACGAGTATTTACACCTTGACATGTACGTCTGCATTGAAATATCCATCAAGAGACAAGAAACCCTGACAGTAGTTCAAACTTTGTGCTTTTAGTGAGTTTTGGTTTGTAGGTCCACACAGATTCATTATTTTCTCAGCTGTAGCTCTACACCAGACTCCATTGACAAAAACAGTAATTTTAAGAAAACTGCTTTACAGTTTTGTTTTGTTTTGAATTTGTTGAATTAAAAGTGGTTCAGGTTTGCTCAGATGATTTAATTTCTCATTCTGGCAGCAGTAGGAGGGAGGTCATAATTGAAAAGAGACGCATCTGCTCCTTCTCTAAAAGGATGTAGGTGCACTTCTGGCCACAAGAGGGAGACAAATTATAGCTTTAAACGTACGTCTGCACTGAAATTTCCTCAAAAGGAGACTTGATAGGACACAAGAAACCCTGACAGCAGTTCAAGCTCTGTGCTGTCAGGGAGTTCTGGTTTGTACGTCTTGTGTAAGTCGTCACCTTGATGACGGGAACTCTGGGCTTGAACCGGGACGACAGCTGGTTCAGGACCTCGGCCAGGAGCTGCTGGTGCTTCAGGACCTTCCTCATCTTCATGATCCTCACGATGGCGGCCTGAGACGCAGACACAACGTTCACACAACCGAGATGCAACGTTCACACAACCGAGGAGACTTCTCCTCCAAAGACTCACAGGCTCTGAAGTCAGTCGTTAAAAACGGAAAAATACCGAATTTAATTTGTTTCTCTGCACAAAATTATAAAAAACGACGTGCATCTAAATAAGTGACAGAATGAACATGTTATAAAATGTTTAACCTCAGAGATCAAAGTTCTGATCGGAGACGTTTCTGATCGGAGCTGCGTCTCAGCCATCGCTGGTGCTTTGTGGGTAAACAGGTAAACAAACGCTGGTACCTGGATGAGGAGTTTGCGATCCTCCTCGATGTTCTTGTGAGTCGTCTCCTGCTCTTGCTTCTGCTCCGTCTTCATCGGCACGTTGATGTTCACCCTCAGCTTCTTGCTGCAGACACAACAGTCACAGGTCAGTTTGTTTGTTTGTTTGTTTGTTTGTTTTCAAGCAGAGCGGGACGTTTCTCACTTCTTGTATCCGAGGAACAGCTTGATGACGGTGTCGGGTTTGAACTCCACCTCATCCACGTTGGCGTTCTCGTCCTCCAGAACCTGACGGACACAGACTCTGGGTCACTGATGACTACACATAAGATGACACCTGAAGCACGTTCTCGTCTTCTTCTAACAGAAATCATCCTCATATGCAGAATAGAACCTGTCTGGCGCCACCTAGTGTCACACCAGGAGCTTCACCAGCGACATCTGAGTCGTTTCACTGAAAAATCTAAAAGAAATCTGGAAACAAATCCTCCAGAACTCTGGTTCTATAATAACATGAGGACATTTAAAGCAGCTCCGCCTTCAGACTGGAGACGTTCAGGCCTTTAACTACAGGAACGTCGCACCGTTTACTGGTTATTTTACAGCTTTTCAGTAAATCACAGACGATAACTAAGAAAATAATAATTTTTAAAAAGTACTAATTTACTCTTCACTCTATGAAACTAACTGTAAACAACGTCCAGGTCAGAAATGTGTAAATCTGATGACATACTTGTTTCTAAAGTGGACTTTCACGGATAAACTTTTCTTTTCTGTGTTCTGGTAAATCGACATCAGAATCCCGTCAAACATCTGGATCCTAACAAACAGTCGGATTTTTCTTCTGCTGTGTTTAAATCAGCTGCAGATACAAATGTTTTAAGATTTTCATTGTTATGATTCCATCGGCTGGGTTCTGGTTCGATTCTTCTTCTTCTATAAAAACCACTTCCTGGTTCTGACGATCACGAGAAGCTTCGGCGGTACTCACCAGCAGCTTCGACTTTAACAAGATCTGCAGAACCTGAACCAGAATGTCCTGCAAAAAACGAGGAGAGTGTCGGTGAGCGAACAAACAAACAAACAAACAAACAAACAAACAACGAGGACGTGATGACGAGCTGCTGCTGCCGCCGCCTACCGTCTTGATCTGCGTGCTGTCGGTGAGCTGCTGCACCGTGTAGCTGTCCTCAGTGTTGTACTGCAGCAGGATGGCCATCTGGAAGGTGGAGGCCTGCAGCGTGTATCTGTAAACAACAACAACGACAGGTTCAGGACGGCTGTGTCGTCACATGATTCTACGACGACTTGACACTAAAACATCTGCATGAATTAAAGCGCTGCTGCTTTTCAAACCAGCGTCTCTGCTGATCAACGCACTGAAACAAAAACAGCTTCTGACTCGTTGATCTTTTTAAACCTGCTGCTGATTCACAGATTTTCCCTTTTTGTTAAATCACAGAGAATCTAGTGAAAAAAATCCCCCCAAAAAACTATTAATTTACTGGAAATCTGTGTTTTTATTTTTATTTTACAGCCAAATTTTACTGTATTTAAATCAGCAAAAATGATTATTTTACAGATATGTTCAGTTATTTGACAGAAAATTTAGAATAAAATGCTTGTTATTGTCATACACAAAGTACAATGAAATTAAATTAATTTATGTTTTTTAATGACTAAAAAATGGCAAATAATTTATTCAAAACCATTATTTTACAGATTTTCTGTTGTCGTTTTTTCACAGACAGTAACCAGTAAAATATTAAAAATATATATTCATTTACTTGTACAGTGATAAAATAATAATTCACAATTAAATCTGTATTTTTATTAACAGCAGTTCATTTTTTATTGTATTTAAATCTGAAAAAAAAATTATTTTACAGATATTTGCTGTTATTTTTTGAAGTTTTTTTTTACGTTCCACCATTTTTTCTGGCCCTCTTGCACCAGATTTTTGTATTTTGGCGCCGCCTACGGGCCGTGGTGCTGCCGCCTTTGTGCCACGGTGCCACAGCGCCACCTTTGGGCCGCGGTGCCACCTACCGGTTCTTGAAGCAGTTGGTGACCAGCTCTCCTTTGGACAGGTGGTACAGCCAGGTGAGCTTCCTGCCGCTGTGTCTGCTGGCGTAGAACGCCGTGAAGCGCTGGTAGCTTCGCTCCAGCTGCACACAAACAGACAAGAGGGGAGGAGTCAGGGCTGCGGTTCTCAAGCCGAGGTCCGTGGACCAATGTGCGCTCTCTCTAGAACCTCTGAAGGTCTCTGGAACTGAAAACTGGTCTCGAGCAAAAAGGGATTCAGGATGTTTGTGTTTTTAGCTCTGGAGGGCGGTGAGGCGCTCGGACAACCAGAACAACGAGACAGAGACTGGACCGGACCAGACCTCAGATTTCTGGAGGAAATCAACCTGTTTGTTGAAGGAGGTCCAATCATATCCAGAACTAAAAACATTTTCCCCCAAAGCAGGAGCAAAACGAAGCCTTTAGCGGCGTTGAAATCACACATTTAGTTTCTGGATGTCACTCAAAGAACCGGGTCGTTACCTCTGAAGGCAGAGCGAAGGTGCAGGACTGCTGGAAAGGCCAGGACCCGGAGCTCAGGACCTGGATACTGAAGTCCACTGGAACAGGAAAAAGTCAAGTCAGTTCATCTGGTGCTTGAGTGAGCAGCTGCTGAACGCTTCACCGCTCAGGACGACAAACACAAAACTCAGATCATCTCCACCTGATTCTGTATTTCTCCACAGCGAGTTCCAGCCTCACCTGGTCACAGGTGCTTATCAACACCAGTGTTACAGACGGTCCCTGAACGCCTCACTGCTTTTTTAACTCACACACTCAGAACACAGGTTTCATATGCGACTACATATACAAAATAATCCATACAGTGTTATTAACTATGGAGACTAACCCGACTACTGTAGCTTTGAACCCACAAAACTATAAATGTTCAAACTCTACAAACTCGTGGACCTCCTCCAAACACGCTGCTCTTGGTGTTTTCACTCACGGTCCAGAGGCTCAGAGTTGGTCAGGTGTTTCTTGAACTGTTCGTTCAGGTCTTTGCTGACTCCGATGTCCTGGAACATCCGCTGCAGTTTGGACGTGTACTCGAACCCACAGGCTTGCTGCAGAACAAAAACAACTCAGGTCAGAATTACCCTCAGCACAGTCTGCCAAGTGGAAAAACTCACGCCGTTACTGAAAACGTCTGGCAACGGTCAGTTTAAGAGTTGCTCTGGAGTTTCCAGCCCCTGATTTAGGTGATGGACGAGCTATGCTTGCTGAGAGAAACCTGCAGAGAGTGGAGGGACTGCTGTGTGTCTGCTTTAACAGAAACATGGCTCCATGACAGCATCCCAGACGGACAGACAGCTGGAGGGGACGACATCGTTCCGGGTGGACGGACAGACAGACGGCTCTGAACTTCTCCAGAGCCGCTGCAGGAGCAGGACGCTGAACATTGTCAGGGCCTCTCCCTCTCCATAAACTGTTTGAACCGCTGTCATCAGGAAAACGTTCCCGAAGCGTTAAAGGAAGAACCTCCAGACTGATCAGCGGCGTCATTCCACCAGCTGTCAGAACGCTGAACTTATGATCCAGACATGCAAACACTTCTTTATTTGCTTGCTTGTAGTTTTTGGATCCTGAACAAACGCTCTCTCATCTTGTTTGTACTGCTGTTGTATAAAATGACAATAAACTTGATTTGATGGAAAATGAACCACAAGAAGCTTTAAGTTCTCCAGATGTCTCGTGCTAGAATCGGCCACTGTTTCAGACACAACTTAGCACTCGTCACTGAGACGCTTTATTCTCCCAGAAACATCCTGTCAGGTGTTCTGACTTCGACGTGAGGTAAGATTCAAGCGTTGGCGAATCGGACCGACATGTTTAGTGTAGCATGGACTAAACTGACTAAACTAAAGCCGGCATCGGTCACCTAGAAACCCTTCAGCTGGACTCTGGCGTGGATGTGAGTGTGTTTGGCATTTAAAGACCCACACCTTGAGTTTGGAGATCATGCTGGCCTCGGCGTCGTCGCTGGCGCTGTTCTGGTGGACCAGGCGCTTGGCCAGCATCTTCGCGTAAAACTTCTGGAAAACGTCTTTGTCCTCGATGTACTTGAACACAACCATCTAGAAGAGAAACAGGAAGTGACGCTACAGGCGTGACCCGTGAA